CCGCTGCAAGTCACAGACCCTCCAAACCTGAATTTTTTAAGGCTGGTACCTTATCTCTACCGCACCCCCCACAACAAAGAAAGGGTTTGGGGTGGGGAATTCTGGGAGTTGAAGTCCACCCGTCTTAAAGTTGCCGAGGTTGAGAAACACTGGGCTATGTAAATGCTGGCTGGGTGGCCCTTCCATAATTCATGAAGCCACTTTATCCAGATCAACCTTTTCAGGCTAAAAAACCAAATGGCTCTGCTTTATTCAGAACATGTGCCACAGAATCCATTCGCTGGAAAGAATACACGTGCTAGGTGGCTCGTGGGGGAAACTCATTCAACAGCTACCCCCCCACCCCTGTGATCTAAAATCATATTAGAACTGGAGGCTGGTTCGTGGAGGAGATGAAGAACAACCAGCAGGAAACAGAACATCAATTAAAAAAAAAACAACTTGCTACGACTACATGGAACGTAGTCATCCTCCATAAACTAGTCTATTTGCTTTTAAAGCCATCTAAATCAGCAACCATCCGGCGATAATTAATTCTGAAGGTTAAAGTACATTGCATGCCGTTTCAGAATGAAAAAAAACGAAGCATCTTTGGTTAAACATGGCCATAAATTGCTGTTTGCTATAGAAGGTGGTGCAGAAAAAAGACTATTTGAGCAAGCCTCTTTCTCCTTCTCCTTTATTTTACAGAAATGTTGGAGTTGGGGGAACCCAAGTCAGGAAAATAACATTGGAAAAAAGAATGTGGGGGAAATCTGATCACAATTCTATTTAGTTTCAACGTCAATACAATCTTGGATCCTAGAAGGATAAAACTGGAGTACTAATGCCTATTTGCTAAGGAGAGATGAAAAGGACCAGGAATTACACTGCATGTCTAAAATAATGTTTAGAAAACGGCATAATAATCACTGCTCTCCCACAGTAATTTAGAACTAGTCAGGTAGAAAAGGACACAACCCTCATGGCATGTATATTTAAATTAAACACATAGGGAAAACACATTACAAATGCTAGTGCTGAAGTACCGTGCTTGTTAAGGATCTGCAGGAAAACACCTTACCATGTATGATGCAAAAATGAGGACGCGCTTGTGTTTCCCACACGGCCACTGCGGGTCGTCAAGCAAATTGGGGTTGTACTCTGCTAACTCTCCCACCTCGTTTCCTGGAAGTAAAGAAGGAGTTGAAGACTGAAAGCTCACCAACGCCATTCAAAAAAAACAGCCCCTGAATCTTTCTGAAGGATCTGCGCTGCCAGATCCAGATAAGGCTGAGAAAGGGTTGATCTACAGGTCGCTCGCCATTTCTGGAGGGCAGGAAGACGCAACGTCACGCTCTGCCTACAACCAGCAGGAAGACCATCTTTGTCTTTTTCTACTACGTGTCAAAAGGAGTGTGATTTTTGACTTGGGCCAGCTCAGAAAACGCTGTTTGCTTTGCCTGCCTGCTTCATTTCTTTGTAGGCAAACCCCTCTGCTCCAACAGCTTACTGTGCCTCATGGCAGGAATGCCACCTCTCCTCTGGTCACTGGTTACCACCTCCCGAAGTCTTTTTTTAAAGGTTTATGGATGGAACGGTGAAACATGGACCTGTTGCATTTTTTTTTTTTAACCAGGTAAAACTGACAAGAGATTTGCTACTTTCCCCTTGCAGCCCTAGTAGCATGAAAA